CACGTTATAGTTTCATGTGCGGGCATGATAAAGTGTTACCTATTTTTTACATTGTGTGTATCTTCACAGCCTGAGACTGATGCAAGAACAGACTGAAGCCAGCAACGGTTGAGAGGCAGGCCGCTACTAGCCTGGAGGAAACCAACGTTTTATCTAATATTTATGATGGAACAAGCTGCACCTGCAACATTTATAACCAGCCACATTAGAGAGAGACAGAGTGCGTGTGTGTGTGTGTGTGTGTGTGTGTGTGTGTTATCTGTGTGCTTTTGGTGTACAGTATATATAAGCTGCCTATCTTTAATCTCCATGCTTGTTTTTTATATATTAGTGTTTGATTTTTAGGGAATAATGGTAAGCTTATAGTTACATTTGATAACATCTGCATATATGTTATTAATCTATTTATTTGGCCAAAGAATCAATTCTTAATTTAGTAAAGGGGGAAGTAGGCTGTACTCACCCACTCTATAATAGATCATGCAGCCATTGCTGTCAACATCTGGAGTCAGTGAACATTAGTGATCACTGAACCACTGGCAGCAGCTGTCTAAGTTTTACGCTTTAGAGAATTTCTATCCCAGCTTTACCTCAACAACACATTTATTTCAGTTTTAAAAAACAAAAAAGAACATGAGCATGTAAAAAGTCAGCACTTTGATTCCGCTGCAGTGAAGACTTTCGATTACCAGACCCAACCAACACCCTCCTTCCCTCACTTGGAGTCATTGAACATTTATGAACTATAGGGAAACAGGACATAGGAAACAAGACTGCAGTAGGGAATTTTTATGAAAATAATTTTTGGTTATATTTGCTGAAGCTTTCACTGTATCAGGTTCCTTTGGATCCTCCTAGTTCTCTTAATGACATGACGACATGTAACATATCAACATACATGCAACTTGGACCCAACTATGTAGGACCCGCCTTGTATTCCATCATATCTCTGACAAGTCCTGAGCTGCACACAGCAGCACCCCTGCTCAAAGCAGCGCGGATAAATAAAGTATCTATCAAATCTAATCTGATCTACGGAATTCATTCATACATTTTATTTCCTCCGTTTTCCC